GAACGGTCATATCATTTCAGAGGTGGGAAGAGACAGAGAGAGAGAGAGAGAGAGAGAGAGAGTATAACTTGATTCCAATTTTGGACAACATGAACATGATGTCTCAGGTCTCAACATAAAATCTCAATTTATATCAAACAACCTTTATCCCTAAAATTTCTGCCATTTTCTTTTTTTGACCTGCTACATTCTGCATTGTGACTAATTTGTAGACGTTGCGAGAATTTGCGATCAAATACAAATTTTCTGGTTTGTGTGTTTGAACGAATAGGGTCTGAAAGTTTCCAGTTTGTGCTTAAGAAAAGCAGACATAAACATACGTTCCAAAGATTACACAAAACCACGCGATAAAATAAAACACATTTAAATACTTTGAATTTTAGAAAAGCTTGATCTACATGGAAAGGATATCTGAACGATCTATATGAAATAGAAGGAACGGCTTGTGTGTAAATGAGGAATGAGTTAGTACACCAAAAACGAGGATGACAAAGATGTGTATTATCACTGATATTGTAAAATGAAGGCTTAAGGCCACACCACGTTGAAACACCTGTTCCCATACAATCGCCGAAGTTAAGCAATGTCGAACTTGATCATTACCTCGATGTGTTCTATTGTGTAATGAATTATGGCTAGGAATTGTTCATCGGAAAGTTGAATTCCAATTCTCTTTGAGTTTGTTATAATCACTTACGCGCAAATGTGATCCATCTATTCTCCCCCAGCTATGAGTTAATTAGTAATACTCATATCACTAAACAATAATGATTACAAACAAAAAAAAATATCCAATCTGAAAATATTACCTGGCTTTGAATAATCTGCAATGGATTGATAAACCAAAGAAAACGAATCAATTGTACAGACTGGTCCGAAAGTCTTGTCACGCCTACATAATATAATTTTCTATTTCAACGCTCTTTGGTGGTATTATCAAGGAGAGGGTTTCACATGAACGATAGCAGAATATTTATCTGTTGAAGGACGCCGTTCAGAGAGCCTTTGCGACAATCAACAAAGCACAGCTTCGTAAAATGCAACATAGGACATGGCACCGCATCAATTTGTGCCACGAAAATGATGGTGTTCATACAGACCTTCTTGATGTGTGACAGCGTCAATGAGAGTGAACAAACTGAATCCAATGCATGTGATTTGTATTACTGTATAACTTGTTATTTTATTGTTCTCATTACTTTTAAGGAAGTCTAAGGAAGTGACAAATCTTTCGTACCACCCTGTACAATGAAATGTTTCGAAGATAATTAAAGAATGTATCGTGATTAATTCTCGGTAGACATTATATTAACATATGCAATGCAGACGAAAGTGTTCTAATGAAAGATTCCAAAGGAAATATGAACTGTTTTATAACAGAAGAGTTGATGAAGTCAAATCAAAGACAGGTGATATATCATTTCTGTAACATGAGCTATTGAAAATTGTTGCGTTCTTTTAACTGAAAAAGGGTGACACTGAAAAATTGACATTGGCATTTAATATATAGAAGGACATGAGCTATTAAGAGTGGTTTCCCCTTAATTGAAAAAGTGTGACACACTGACAGGTATTTATTATATTGTTGAGCGTTGTAAGGCATTTTAAAAGATGTGGGTATGTGAGTAATTGCATGTACTTTACGATTTACGGAGAAAAAAAATAATGAACTGCATTTCCATTGATCAGACATATATTATACAAGTGATATACATTTGGGATCCGTGACAGATTTCCTACGTTAAACTGGTTACCAACCAAGGCTATAGAGCCCAGTCTGTCCTGATGTTCAACCCATAACGGAAGGGTGATAGATTCATACCTTTCTCAACGGTATTTGCCTGTAAGTAAATGTAAATGTAAAGAACCCGGCTGGAATTCGAACACGGTTCTCCGCTTTCTCATTCCGAGTCGTTATCCATTGCACCCCGCCCATATATCCACAGTTAATGAAAGCTGGATACAAGGAGTGAAAAGAAAGCATACGACAAAATACAGTGTAACCCGGATATAAGAGACCCGGATATAAGAGAAACCCGGATATAAGAGGGATTTTCTCTGGTCCCAAATTAGAGCATGTGTTAATGTATATAAAATAGACCAAACCCGGATATAAGAGAAACCCGGATATAAGAGACTTCTTCTCCGGTCCCGACAACTCTCTTATATCCGGGTTACATTGTACCTGGTTATTAGCAAAAGGGACGGTTCAAGTTATGAGTAGCAAAGCGGGGTACATCAAACAGTGGCAGGTGCAGAAAATATCTGTGTAATATACAGTATCTCTCTATATCTCCGAAATGAGGTATTATAATTACTTACATTAGTTACATTATTCGAACTGTTATCCTCATCTTCATTCCCATATTCACAACTTTTCGGTCGTTGTATGCTCTGGCCTTCTTCAGGTGATTGGAATTTCGAATCGCACCCTATATTTCGTCCACAGGGCTAGATTGTTCTAGTTCCACGTCTCTTCCGGGTGTCTCTGTGTTTTTTTTACCTTTAACTCAGCTTTCCATGTTCTGGTTGACCACTGCTGTATTGAATGCACAACACTTTGGATTTAGTCACTGGATATAACCAACGCCTTTATCCACTAGGCCATGTATCCTCAAGTATATATGTTGTTAGACGATATCAGGTGTAACAGCATAATTATCCATACCAGAAAAATTTAATATCTAAAAAAAAAAAAAAATACTAAACTAATTGGGTTTCTTTTTTCCAGGTTTTCATATAAGAAGTTTTGCCGTCTTGATACCATTTTTCCTAAGATGCATAGAGGGAATTTATCATTTCAAGTTAGAGCTGAAGTGATCAAATAGAAAAGATCCAACTCAATCCATAAGATTTTGGCATGTGAGACGAGTTTCACCTATGACAGGCCAAAGATCAATGAAAAAAAGACTTGAAAATGAAATCGTACGTGAACGTGTGTGGCATCTTGTTACTCTTGGACAGAAAGTTAGAAGGTTAGAGAGGGCAAAGATAATCTTGAATAAGTTGGAAAATGATCCTGAAATATATATATATATATATATATATATGAACTTAATATCAATCATGCATTAGCTTTCTATCTTTAGCTTATACTAATTAATGATGTCATTTTTGTTTATGATCACTTTCATCAGGATCTTTTGTTAAGATTGAGAGCAATTATACATACTTATTTCTTAAAGGAGAGTGCAATATTGTCAGAAAAAACTGGAAGAATTCTAGTAAGTTATCTTTAATCATTTCTAAGATACAACGGGTCAAAGCTTAATGTAATAAATGGACAATTTTGCTTTTACACGATACGGACAATTTTGCTGTTACATCCGTTATATATATATATATATATATATATATATATATATATATATATATATATATTCCGAAAAAAATCATATTCAATGCACCTTTTGATACGATTCCTATCTGGATTGTGCATATGAAATATTTTACGTGAAAAGTGGATGAAGAAAAATGAGATCATTTTTCGTTATTTGATCTTTTATTTCCGGAAGAAGAAAAAAAACTGCCCAAGCAACAAGTAAGTTTTTACGCTGTTTAAAGATGTGGTGCTATAGCTGTCAGCACTGTCCTTCAGTGGTTCTCTTGGCGTAAATTGGAAATTTTAAGATTCAAAATGTTACGGCAGCCCTGCAGTCACTGATGATCAAATCGAAAGGCTGATAAACAAAATAATCAAGATCATACGGCACGGGACATCGTATATCTAATATTAGCTTAAAAGCCGTCCCTGCTGATGGTTTTTGATTGGACCTTCGTCTTGTTCAGAAGTTTTAGAGTCTCCAAATCTTTGTATATTCTCAGCATTGGAAGCTCTCTTGGCTGCCGTTTCATCTGAGTTCTCGTTTGCACGAGATTTTCCTTTTCCTCGTTACAGACGTGACTTTTTTGATTGCAATCTGGTCCTCTGTTGGCGGAGATCTCTTTTTGCGAGGCATACTGCTGCCGTATGCGATAGGCAACACTAAACTACAGAAGAACTCAAAATTGATCGCTGCATTTAAGTACTGCATTAATATTTAAGCTTACCTTTAAAATTTTCAACGATTCAAATTCTTCTGTTGCCACTTAATTTAAAGACAATTTGATGTGCGTAGGTCCTTACTTTCCGTAAAAATAATTAGTTTTATTTCATGTCTGGCTTTCGCTGAATTTTTCAATTAATTTCGATTATGCCTAAATTTATTTCCAAGTTATAAAAATTATTATCCGTCGCAATAAACGTAAAATATGGCCGAAAACAATCGCAGTAATAAAAATTTGGGAATCCAAAATTTCTGTAACATGAGCTATTGGAAATTAGAGAGATGCGTTAAGAAAGGGTGACACTGAAAAATTGACATTGACATTTAATATAAAGAAGGAAATGAGCTATTGAGAGTGGTGTCCCTTTAATTGAAAAAGTGTGACACACTGACAGGTATTTATTATATTGTTGAGCGTTGTAAGGCATTTTAAAAGATATAGGTATGTGAGCAATATCATGTACTTCACGATTTACGGAGAAAAAAATAATGAACTGGATTTCCATCGATCAGACAAAACAAAAACACCCTATTTTTGCTTAGAACGCACACAAGAGATGAAAATTGAATTGTTTATAACAATGCGAGTGGAGAAAGGTCTTAGGAAAACGAAATCTGCACTAAAGATTGTAGCGTTAAAAATGTTACCATCATTTGTTTCGACCTAATAAATTGCGATAAGTTTGAGCAAGTAATTTATTTAATTTTCTAGAGCTTAATTCTTTTTGCAAGTTATTTAAAGCCAGAAATTATTTTTCTAAATTGGAATAATTTGGGGGAGAAAGATTTACAGATCGAAGTCCTATTAATTAACACATAACTGGGTGGAGAGGAGGTGAATTTATATTTTTCACAAGAGTTGTTGCGCGCTTGTTGATATCGGGAAATCGAACTCTGTCCTCCGTTTTCGAATTCCGAGCTGTTATCTATTACACCAACCGCACATTCAAGCTTATAGCAGCTGGCATTCCCAAGCAGTCACCCATCTAAGTACTGACGAGGCTCGATATTGCTTAACTTTGATGATCGTACGAGAATCGGTGTTTCAACGTGATACGGCACTACAGCAAGTGAATAAACGTACGAAGACAATTCGATCATCAGCCGGCAAGTATTGATGAGAAGCAACAAACTGTGGGAAACCGTGGTCACCCACACTCTGAAGATACATGACATATAGAAAAAGAAAGAAAGAAAGAAAGAAAAGAAAGAAAGAAAAGAAATGAATGGAAGTAAGAAAGAAAGAAAGAAAGAAAGAAAGAAAGACAGAAAGAAAGAAAAAAGAAAAGAAAAGAAAGGTAGAAATAAATAAATAAAAATGAAATGAAATGAAAGAAAGAAAGAAAGGAAGGAAAGAATGCAAGAAAGAAAGAAAGGAAAGAAAGGTAGAAAGAAAGAAAGACATAAAGAAGGAAAATAAAGTAAATGAAAGAAAGAAAAGAAAGAAAGAAAGAAAGTAACGAAAGGTAGAAAGAAAGAAAGAAATGAAGAAAGAAAAGAAAAGAAATGAATGGAAGAAAGAAAGAAAGAAAGAAAGTAAAGAAAGGTAGAAAGAAAGAAATAAAAAAAGAAAAGAAAAGAAAGGTAGAAAGAAAGAAATAAAGAAAGAAAAGAAAAGAAAGGTAGAAAGAAAGAAAAAAGAAATGAAATGAAAGAAAGAAAGAAAGAAAAAATGAAAGAAAGTAAAGAAAGGTAGAAAGAAAGAAAAAAAAAGAAATAAATAAAGGAAGACAGCAAAGAAAAAAGAAAGAAAGAGGAAATATTGCAGAAATCAAGAGTGCAAAAATGTGTAATAATGTAGGCGAATGTGTGGGGCTGATCATAAAAGGCCTGAGAGAGGGAATAAATACAGGAGACAGAAGAAACACATAAGCAAGGAAAGAATGAACATATTTTTATTAAATGCTGCAAAGAGAAAAAATAACATGGAGAAAATAGCTGAATTTTAGAACAAACGACTGGGATGGGAAAAAAAGAAAAACATTTAAAAAAGAATATAGAACAATAAATTAAAATAAGCACGCAAGAGAAACTATAGCTAAAACAACAGAAGAATAGTAAAATATTTGCAATTTAAGTTAATCTCGGTTGCATCGATATTAAAAAAAGCAGAGTAGTAGTGTAGAAAGATCTATCATATAAGTTTTAAAATATAAAAAGACAGTGAAAGGATATTACTAAATGGAGAAAAATAAAGAGTAAAAAAAAAGCAATAAGTGCGAGTAGCTATGAGCGTAATCCTGAATGTGAGAGAAACAATTACAAAGCAAAGGGTAAGAAGGCAACTAAAAGGGAATAGGAGAGTAAAAAAAAAGGGGAAAAAAAGAAGGGAAAATAGAGGGAAAAAATGTAAGGGGAAAAGAATAACAAGGAGAGATAAGGAAAAGAAAAACTATGCAAAAAGTGGTGAAGATAAGAATAAAAATGACAAAAAGGATGAAAAGCCTGAGAATCAGATTTTAAGAAAAGAGTCAAATGAGAATAAAGAGCGATTAAGACGAAGGGAAAAGAAGAAAGAAAAGAGCAAAGAGCAAGAAGGAGATAAGAGTGGGGAAAATAAAGAATAAAAGAAAATATATTAAAAAGTGGGTAAAAAGAGTGTAACAAGGGAGGGAAAAGGAAGGTAAGAAAGAGCAATGAAGAGTGTAAGAAGGGAGGTAAAAAGAGGGGAAGAAGGAGGTTAAAAATAAGAGCAATGAAAAGGGTAAGAAGGAGGGAAAAGGAAGGTAAGAAAGAGAGCAATAAAGAGTGTAACAAGGGAGGGAAAAGGAAGGTAAGAAAGAGCAATGAAGAGTGTAAGAAGGGAGGTAAAAAGAGGGGAAGAAGGAGGTTAAAAATGAGAGCAATGAAGAGTGTAAGAAGGGAGGGAAAAGGAAGGTAAGAAAGAGAGCAATGAAGAGTGTAACAAGGGAGGTAAAAGGAAGGTAAGAAAGAGCAATGAAGAGTGTAAGAAGGGAGGTAAAAAGAGGGTAAGAAGGAGGGTAAGAAAGAGAGCAATAAAGAGTGTAAGAAGGGAGGGAAAAGGAAGGTAAGAAAGAGAGCAAAGAAGAGTGTAAGAAGGGAAAGAGAAGGAAGGTAAGAAAGAGAGCAATGAAGAGTGTAAGAAGGGAGGTAAAAAGAGGGTAAGAAGGAGGTTAAAAATGAGAGCAATGAAGAGTGTAAGAAGGGAGGGAAAAGGAAGGTAAGAAAGAGAGCATTGATGAGTGTAAGAAGGGAGGTAAAAAGAGGGTAAGAAGGAGGGTAAGAAAGAGAGCAATAAAGAGTGTAAGAAGGGAGGGAAAAGGAAGGTAAGAAAGAGAGCATTGAAGAGTGTAAGAAGGGAGGTAAAAAGAGGCTAAGGAGGAGGATAAGAAAGAGAGCAATAAAGAGTGTAACAAGGGAGGTAAAAGGAAGGTAAGAAAGAGAGCATTGATGAGTGTAAGAAGGGAGGTAAAAAGAGGGTAAGGAGGAGGGTAAGAAAGAGAGCAATAAAAAGTGTAAGAAGGGAGGTAAAAGGAAGGTAAGAAAAGAGAGCATTGATGAGTGTAAGAAGGAGGTAAAAGAGGCTAAGGAGGAGGATAAGAAAGAGAGCAATAAAGAGTGTAACAAGGGAGGTAAAAGGAAGGTAAGAAAGAGAGCATTGATGAGTGTAAGAAGGGAGGTAAAAAGAGGGTAAGGAGGAGGGTAAGAAAGAGAGCAATAAAAAGTGTAAGAAGGGAGGGAAAAGGAAGGTAAGAAAGAGAGCAATGAAGAGTGTAAGAAGGGAGGGAAAAGGAAGGTAAGAAAGAGAGCAATGAAGAGTGTAAGAAGGGAGGTAAAAAGAGGGTAAAGAGGAGGGTAAGAAAGAGAGCAATAAAGAGTGTAAGAAGGGAGTGAAAAGGAAGGTAAGAAAGAGAGCAATACAGAGGTAAGGAAGGAGGGAAAAGGAAGGTAAGAAAGAGAGCAATGAAGAGTAAGAAGGAGGTAAAAAGAGGGTAAGATGGAGGGTAAGAAAGAGAGCAATAAAGAGTGTAAGAAGGGAGGGAAAAGGAAGGTAAGAAAGAGAGCATTGAAGAGTGTAAGAAGGAGGTAAAAAGAGGCTAAGGAGGAGGATAAGAAAAGAGAGCAATAAAGAGTGTAACAAGGAGGTAAAAGAAGGTAAGAAAAGAGAGCATTGAAAAGTGTAAGAAGGGAGGGAAAAAAGAGGGTAAGGAGGAGGGTAAAAAGAGAAATAAAGAGTGTAAGAAGGAGGGAAAAGGAAGGTAAGAAAGAGAGCAATGAAGAGTGTAAGAAGGGAGGGAAAAGGAAGGTAAGAAAGAGAGCAATGAAGAGTGTAAGAAGGGAGGTAAAAAGAGGGTAAGAAGGAGGGTAAGAAAGAGAGCATTAAAGAGTGTAACAAGGGAGGGAAAAGGAAGGTAAGAAAGAGAGCATTGAAGAGTGTAAGAAGGGAGGTAAAAAGAGGCTAAGGAGGAGGATAAGAAAGAGAGCAATAAAGAGTGTAACAAGGGAGGTAAAAGGAAGGTAAGAATGAGAGCATTGATGAGTGTAAGAAGGGAGGTAAAAAGAGGGTAAGGAGGAGGGTAAGAAAGAGAGAAATAAAGAGTGTAAGAAGGGAGGGAAAAGGAACGTAAGAAAGAGAGCAATGAAGAGTGTAAGAAGGGAGGGAAAAGGAAGGTAAGAAAGAGAGCATTGAAGAGTGTAAGAAGGGAGGTAAAAAGAGGCTAAGAATGAGGATAAGAAAGAGAGCAATAAAGAGTGTAACAAGGGAAGTAAAAGGAAGGTAAGAAAGAGAGCATTGATGAGTGTAAGAAGGGAGGTAAAAAGAGGGTAAGGAGGAGGGTAAGAAAGAGAGCATTAAAGAGTGTAACAAGGGAGGTAAAAGGAAGGTAAGAAAGAGAGCATTGAAGAGTGTAAGAAGGGAGGTAAAAAGAGGGTAAGAAGGAGGGTAAGAAAGAGACCATTAAAGAGTGTAACAAGGGAGGTAAAAGGAAGGTAAGAAAGAGAGCATTGAAGAGTGTAAGAAGGGAGGTAAAAAGAGGGTAAGGAGGAGGGTAAGAAAGAGAGCAATAAAGAGTGTAAGAAGGGAGGGAAAAGGAAGGTAAGAAAGAGAGCAATGAAGAGTGTAAGAAGGGAGGTAAAAAGAGGGTAAGAAGGAGGGTAAGAAAGAGAGCAATGAAGAGTGTAAGAAGGGAGGGAATAGGAAGGTAAGAAAGAGAGCATTGAAGAGTGTAAGAAAGGAGGGAAAAAGAGGGTAAGAAGGAGGGTAAGAAAGAGAGCAATAAAGAGTGTAATAAGGAGGGAAAAGGAAGGTAAGAAAGAGAGCAATGAAGAGTGTAAGAAGGAGGTAAAAGAGGGTAAGAAGGAGGGTAAGAAAGAGAGCAATAAAGAGTGTAAGAAGGGAGGAAAAGGAAGGTAAGAAAGAGAGCAAATGAAGAGTGTAAGAAGGGAGGTAAAAAAGAGGGTAAGAAGGAGGGTAAGAAAGAGAGCATTAAAGAGTGTAACAAGGAGGGAAAAGGAAGGTAAGAAAGAGAGCATTGAAGAGTGTAAGAAGGAGGTAAAAAAGAGGCTAAGGAGGAGGATAAGAAAGAGAGCAATAAAGAGTGTAACAAGGAGGTAAAAGGAAGGTAAGAAAGAGAGCATTGATGAATGTAAGAAGGGAGGTAAAAGAGGGTAAGGAGGAGGGTAAGAAAGAGAGCAACAAAGAGTGTAAGAAGGAGGGAATTGGAAGGTAAGAAAGAGAGCAATGAAAAGTGTAACAAGGAGGGAAAAGGAGGGTAAGAAAGAGAGCATTGAAGAGTGTAAGAAGGAGGTAAAAGAGGCTAAGGAGGAGGATAAGAAAGAGAGCACAAAAAGAGTGTAACAAGGAAGGTAAAAGGAAGGTAAGAAAGAGAGCATTGATGAGTGTAAGAAGGGAGGTAAAAGAGGGTAAGGAGGAGGTAAGAAAGAGAGCAATAAAGAGTGTAAGAAGGAGGGAAAAGGAAGGTAAGAAAGAGAGCAATGAAGAGTGTAAGAAGGATGTAAAAAGAGGGTAAGAAGGAGGGTAAGAAAGAGAGCAATGAAGAGGTAAGAAGGAGGAATAGGAAGGTAAGAAAGAGAGCATTGAAGAGTGTAAGAAGGGAGGAAAAAAGAGGGTAAGAAGGAGGGTAAGAAAAGAGAGCAATAAAGAGTGTAAGAAGGGAGGGAAAAGGAAGGTAAGAAAGAGAGCAATGAAGAGTGTAAGAAGGGAGGTAAAAAGAGGGTAAGAAGGAGGTTAAAAATGAGAGCAATAAAGAGTGTAAGAAGGAGGGAAAAGGAAGGTAAGAAAGAGAGCAATGAAGAGGTAAGAAGGGAGGTAAAAAGAGGGTAAGAAGGAGGTTAAAAATGAGAGCAATAAAGAGTGTAAGAAGGGAGGGAAAAGGAAGGTAAGAAAGAGAGCAATGAAGAGTGTAAGAAGGGAGGTAAAAAGAGGGTAAGAAGGAGGGTAAGAAAGAGAGCATTAAAGAGGTAACAAAGGAGGAAAAGGAAGGTAAGAAAGAGAGCATTGAAGAGTGTAAGAAGGAGGTAAAAGAGGCTAAGGAGGAGGATAAGAAAGAGAGCAATAAAGAGTGTAACAAGGGAGGTAAAAGGAAGGTAAGAAAGAGAGCATTGATGAGTGTAAGAAGGGAGGTAAAAAGAGGGTAAGGAGGAGGGTAAGAAAGAGAGCAATAAAGAGTGTAAGAAGGGAGGGAATTGGAAGGTAAGAAAGAGAGCAATGAAAAGTGTAACAAGGGAGGGAAAAGGAGGGTAAGAAAGAGAGCATTGAAGAGTGTAAGAAGGGAGGTAAAAAGAGGCTAAGGAGGAGGATAAGAAAGAGAGCAATAAAGAGTGTAACAAGGAAGGTAAAAGGAAGGTAAGAAAGAGAGCATTGATGAGTGTAAGAAGGGAGGTAAAAAGAGGGTAAGGAGGAGGGTAAGAAAGAGAGCAATAAAGAGTGTAAGAAGGGAGAGAAAAGGAAGTAAGAAAGAGAGCAATGAAGAGTGTAAGAAGGGAGGTAAAAAGAGGGTAAGAAGGAGGGTAAGAAAGAGAGCATTAAAGAGTGTAAGAAGGAAAAGGAAGGTAAAAAGAGAGCAATGAAGAGTGTAAGAAGGAGGAAAAGGAATAAGAAAGAGAGCATTGAAGAGTGTAAGAAGGGAGGTAAAAAGAAAAGGAGGAGGATAAGAAAGAGAGCAATAAAGAGGTAACAAGGAGGTAAAAGGAAGGTAAGAAAAGAGAGCATTGGAGGTAAGAAGGAAAAAGAGGTAAGAAGGAGGTAAGAAAGAGAGCATTAAAGAGTGTAACAAGGAGGTAAAAGGAAGGTAAGAAAGAGAGCATTGAAGAGTGTAAGAAGGGTGGTAAAAAAGAGGGTAAGAAGGAGGGTAAGAAAGAGAGCATTAAAGAGTGTAACAAGGGAGGTAAAAGGAAGGTAAGAAAGAGAGCATTGAAGAGTGTAAGAAGGGAGGTAAAAAGAGGGTAAGGAAGAGGGTAAGAAAGAGAGCAATAAAGAGTGTAAGAAGGGAGGGAAAAGGAAGGTAAGAAAGAGAGCAATGAAGAGTGTAAGAAGGGAGGTAAAAAGAGGCTAAGAAGGAGGGTAAGAAAGAGAGCATTAAAGAGTGTAACAAGGGAGGTAAAAGGAAGGTAAGAAAGAGAGCATTGATGAGTGTAACAAGGGAGGTAAAAAGAGGCTAAGGAGGAGGATAAGAAAGAGAGCAATAAAGAGTGTAACAAGGGAGGTAAAAGGAAGGTAAGAAAGAGAGCATTGATGAGTGTAAGAAGGGAGGTAAAAAGAGGGTAAGGAGGAGGGTAAGAAAGAGAGCAATAAAGAGTGTAAGAAGGGAGGGAAAAGGAAGGTAAGAAAGAGAGCAATGAAGAGTGTAAGAAGGGAGGTAAAAAGAGGGTAAGAAGGAGGGTAAGAAAGAGAGCATTAAAGAGTGTAACAAGGGAGGGAAAAGGAAGGTAAGAAAGACTGCATTGAAGAGTGTAAGAAGGGAGGTAAAAAGAGGGTAAGGAGGAGGGTAAGAAAGAGAGCAATAAAGAGTGTAACAAGGAAGGTAAAAGGAAGGTAAGAAAGAGAGCATTGAAGAGTGTAAGAAGGGAGGTAAAAAGAGAGTAAAAGGGGAGGAAAAAGAGGGCAAAATGGAGGTAAAATAGTGGGTAAGAAGAGAGGTTAAAGAGAAGGGTGAAAAGAAACGAAAAGTAGAGGGAAATTGTAAGTAAAAAAAAAGATCAAAAGTAAATTTGAGGTTAATCATAATAACGATAGGTAGGACGAAAAATGTGTAGAAAGAACAGAAGCAAATAAAAATGAATAAAGTGAATAAAAATATATGCTGTTTAAAAATATGAACAAAATGATGTGGAAAAGAACGAAGAAATAATGAAAGAAGGGAAACGAGAGGAAAGAGAAAATAAGAGAGTAGGATGAACTTTGCAAATAAAAATGAAAGAAAGAAGAATATTAGAGAAAATAAGCAAAAAAAAAAAAATCAAATAAGACGAGGGGAAGATAACCAAGCATAAAATTAGTTCTTGGAAATGTCAGTATGAAAGGAAGTCTGTCTTTGAGATTCTGATTCCGTTTCCATTCTTTCGTGTTAAGCACGTTTCAGTGCGATTGTGTGCATGGGGCACCTTACAAAATGTCTCTGTGATGACCGAGGTCTTACAGAAAAAGGCATACTATTTAGTGAATCTGGCAAGGAAAATGCGATAAAAAAATCTATACGACATGAAAGAAGACTATACAAAAAAGTCAAAAGATAAAAAAAAAATTCTTTAAAATGGCAGGATAAAATAAGAGGAGACTTTGTCTAGAAATTCGTTACAGGATGAAAAAAAAAAGGTTTAAAAATAATTGGATGGGTGTTGACGATGTGAAGACTTTGAGGAAACCTGACCCGCATCTAGAAGGGAAGAATCTATTTTAAATCTAACTACATAAAAATCATCGTGTTCACTTTTTCAGTCTATCTATCCGAAATCTCTTCATGTCTATCAGAATTGACCATGTCGCCTGTCTTTTGGCAAAATTCAATATTTGTCACTAGAATTTATGTGTCTATAAATTTCAGATATGACAAAAATATATGTGTAAAAAGACAATATGAAAAAGACAAAAAGGAAAACATCAGAATCCTTTAATTTGAAAATGATGAGAAACAAACGATTATTTTACTTCTGTTTAAAAGTACTTTTATATTTGCCTTGATATTCGTCCATCAGGGGACGAAACGCATATAATACATGTTTTCCTTTTGACTCTATTCACACACACACAGACACACACACAGACACACACAGAGACACAGACACAGACACACACATTCTCTCTCTCTCTCTCCATATATATATATATATATATATATATATATATATATAGATCCAAACTTTCGACCAACTGAAAGAGAATATATTGAGTAGTGTTTAATGTCTTACAGAATATTTCAAAGAGAAATCCCTAATTTATTATCTTGGTCTTTGAGGAAGCCATTCCATGCCTTATGACTCTTAACTCTTGTTGTTAATATATATATACATATAGACACGGGGCTATATATATATATATATATATATATATATATATATATATATATATATATATATGTGTGTGTGTGCATGCATGTGTATATATATGTGTATGTGTGTATATATATATATGTGTGTATATATTATATATGTATGGTTATATGTATACATGTGTGTATATGTATGTATATATATATATATATATATATATATATATATATATATATGTATATGTATATGTATGTATATGTATATATATGTGTGTGTGTGTATGTAAGTATTTCTTAGTTCCAATTGTAAATATATATTAGCACTTGGTACGAGACATTTTATATCCGAGAAACAGCAAAATGTAACATATGTCATTATTGATGTTCTGTTAATCACACTTATCAGATAAAATAAATTACTGTAGAAATTGAAACCGAGCCAGATGTAAGAAAGAGGAGGCCGAAATAATTGAAAAGTCTCGGAAATATTAAGACCTACTCAGTGTACGACACAGCTATGAACCTACACTGAAATACGGCGGAGATTTGCGGAGATTCATTCTCATTCAATCTCAAGCAATAACTACCAGACTTCTGCTGTAAACATAGAAATTAATGAAATAATAATTGGACGAGAAGGGAAACATTGAAAATTGTGGACACTTTAGGAAGTTTACCTTATAAAACCATGGTCTATGCAGAAATCTGTGTTCATCCGAGGGAATAACAAGAAGGAATTAACATTAATTAAGAATAATAATTAATACGGATTAATTGGAAGTGGATAGGCAAGAGTGGGTCTATTGAAAATTAGGTAAGGATTTTCACCTACATAACTATTGTGTATGTCGAAATGAAAACTCACCAGATAAAATAAATAATTATTATTATTAATAACATGTTTCGATGTTCTTCGATAATTCTGTCCTCTTCAATTTCATGCATAAGAAAAATCTCAGCTTTCCAAACGCTGATTTTAAAAGCAGAATAACTTCATCGTTACATTGGCTAATCCCGCACTACCATCTTGTTATACAAAAGGATATTATAGAATAGTCATATAGTCATAGTTAGCATTTAGACTAGCGATAAGAACAATAGTTAGAATAAACATATTAATCAGATTTCAGTATTTTTCTAAAGGCAAGACTTATCCATGATTAGGTGTATTCCTATTCAAAGATTCATTAAATTTACACACACATATATATATATATATATATATATATATATATATATATATATATATATATATATATATATATATATATATATAATTAAAAAAACAGACTACTTTAAGGTTCTATGTAATAAATTATTTCACCACAGCCGTTTTAAAAGGACTGCGGATCATCAGACTTTACTTCCAAACAAAAATGAAAAGAAAATTTTACATTTTTGACGGGCCGTATTAAACATATGCCAATTAACAAAGTGAGGAAGTGAGGGGGGAGAGAGAAGACATTAGTGAGTTAGCAGATATTGACACATTTAAACCGTTAAAATGTGTTTACGGATTACCGTAACCCATACGGATTACCTAGTTTTTCATAAACTATATATATATATATTTTTTTTTTTTTTCATAAACTATATATATATATATATATATATATATATATATATATATATCCACTTGGTCTCACGTTTGTCACTGACATGAAGTGGAACTGCTATATTGAATCAATTGCTACGTCTAGTTCTAGGAAAATTGGTTCAATGTGTCGTGCCAGAAAAACTTTCTCGCCAGAAGAAAAACGAAAACCTTTGATAGAACTAACGGACAACTTGCCAAAGCCTAAAACTCTTATTCAGATACAGTCATCAATAAGAAAGAGAATGCTGAAAAAAGAAATAAAAAAAGTTTGAAATCAGAATTACCTACTCAGTAAAGTGCTCGATGCCTAGACCAAGTAAGAAACGCTTACCAACATTAAATCCTATGAGTTTCACGCTCACGCGATCTTCGAATGATTTGAACCGTTCAAATCGTCAGAAGATCGTGTGAACATGAAATTAGAGTCACGATATGTCCGATCATTGATATATATATATATATATATATATATATATATATATATATATATATATAGCAGCATGGCCCGGCGTTTCCCGTGCTTGATTAAAAAATCGTACGACATACAGCAATTGCTATCACTTAAAATATTTTTGCCTTTCCTTGCCTTTAAAGAAGTGCTCTTTGCCGTGCTGATGTAGCTACATGCCTTACTTCACACTGCGAATTTTTTCTAAGCTCTATACTAAACATTAAATCTGTTACGAAAAAAGAACTAAACAAAATAAACACAAAACGATCAGCTTTAAAAAAAAGGACTAGTAACTGGAAAAACCGAATGAAAAAATAATGTTAACAACAAATACTTTTTCACTCCCAACCCAGTTCTGCGGTATCAAAATCAACGTTGAAGTTAAACAAGCGAATGAGCCAATTGGAGTAAAGTGCCATGCAGATTTAAATTTTTCCCACTTGTGACGAATGCAGCTATCGATTTTTTACTAGTTAACATTCATGTCAGTCAGCTGTTGGCTCTCACACTGGCCAATAGAATCTTCCTCCCTATTCGTGGCAGCCAGCTATAGGCTCTCACTCTGGCCAGTAGAAAATGGCCACAAAGTACATGAAAACTGCCGTAGAAGCATGGAAAAATCGATTATTTCCTTTATCGAAGGGAGATGGGAAATGCAATGTCGGTCTTGGCCTTCCTGCTAACTTGGAGCATGTGCATGTAAATGTTGGTGCAAATCTGTCGAAAATTGCATGTGCATTCGTTACACACACACACACACACACACACATCCTTGCCTTTTATATATATATATATATATATATATATATGTGTGTGTGTGTGTGTTTTTTACATATATATATATATATATATATATATATATATATATATGTGTGTGTGTGTGTGTGTGTGTGTGTGTGCAGCTATTACCCTAAGATAAAAGTTCAACATGCTCGCTCAAGGAGTAGTACTAAAAAATTTTTAGTCCGACTAAGAAGATCATCAAATACACATTCTGATTGTTGACTATTTGATTTGGGGAATTCGGTCATGTCAAGAACCTTTCAGCATCCCGCGTATTTCTATCTGTTTTTTTTTTCCTTCTACGCGAAGAAAACGCTTAATCCGGGTGTCATCTTTTCTTAGTGCTATGTATCCTGCCCACCTTACCTATCGCCATTTAATCTCTTCGATATCTCTTATCTTCGTCTATTCCTTATTCTACCTCTGTCACAAAGATAGACAGGGTTAATCATTAATCCGAGTACGTTTCCTAGTGATTTTTATATGCAGCGTTTTATACCCGTATGCCGTTACTAGGATTCTATATTCATTATACACGTTAAGTATACCGACAAGATTTTTTTTCATTATGGCTTAGAAGCTTTCGAACATGTTGTATGTAATTTCATATCATTTTTATTTTCTTTGACATCAATTTCATTTTTTTTTAAACATTTAGGCTTTTCAAGTTCATTTAGAACTTTTCCCTCCTTTCATTCATTTTCTAATTTTGAGTAAGTGACAATTTTTTTTTCATTTTTCAGTTTCTCTTCGCTAATCCTAATTTTCCTATAATAGAATCTGTTTAATTTCCTGTCCATACTTTTATAGATTTAAACGATTTATGAGAGACACGAAGCTTTATTAATATTATAAAAACAAATTATTAAACTTCTATATAAAAATAACAACAAACATGTTGAAGCAGCGCAAGGATAATAAATCAATAAACATTGTAGTAGTAGTAGTGGTTGTAATAAGATGTAGTAGTAGCAGTAGTAGTAATAAGTAGGTGTAGTAACAATAGTAATAATATTAATAGTCGTAGTAATAATAATAGTCGTAATAATAATAGTAATATTAATAGTAATAATAATAGTCGTAATAATAATATTAATAGTCGTAGTAATAATAGTATTAGTAGTAGTAATAATAATAGTCGTAATAATAATAATATTAGTTGTAGTAATAATAATAGTCGTAATAATAATATTAATAGTCGTAATAATAATAGTATTAGTAGTAGTAATAATAATAGTCGCAATAATAATAGTATTAGTAACAGTAATAATAATAGTCGTAATAATAATAGTAATGGTCGTAGTAATAATAATAGTAATAGTAGTAGTAATAATTATTGTCGTAATAATAATAATAGTAGTAAGAATAGTAATAATGGTAATAGTCACACGTGGTCAATCATGCATACATTACTGACTTGGCAATTTTCCCCCGGTAGAATGGTTACTCATTCTGCTATTCAACCCATATCTGGGGGCATTTGCTCTTAATATAACGAATATAACGAACCCAACTGGAATTTAAACTCGGCTCCACGATCTCATTCCGAGCCGATATCCATTACACCACAACGCACATCCAATAATAATAATAATAATAATAATAATAATAATAATAATAATACTATTACTCTTATTACTATTACTAAAATAATAATAGTAGTAGTAGTAGTAGTAGTAATAATAATAATAATAATAATAAAAGCGAAAGGATTGAAGTAACTTTTCTAATATTTTTCAACAGTTAAGTGCAGAGCGTGATTTAAGAAAAGGTAAAGAAAAGAATAAAACAGTGTTTGACAATGTTAAACAATATTTCAACAGAATGTCTATCGTCATCAAATTATAATTAAACAATTTTTTTTCAATTATAAAAGAATATAATCTGCAAAATATTTTAAGTCTTCGTACAAACGGGGTTTGTCTTGTAATGAAAATAATAATAATAGTAGTAGTAGTAGTAATAATAATAATAATAATAAATAAATAAATAAATAACCGTTAATCGAAACAATATAAAAAATAAGCAAATAACGAAAAAAGCGAAACGGTTTTCAATCCTCGATCTTCAGTCACTCGAGGGTACACGTGTAATTGTGTTGGTAACGTTTTAAGAACTGCTATGGAATCAGCAGAGGAGAAAAACATATACAGGGTGCGTCAGAAATACCCCCCCGCCACATACACATCAAGGTAAGACATTAGTAGCAATTGTGTCTTAATCTAGCTAAAATCTTGCCATTATGTGGGAAATATTTCTGGGAGACATTTTTGCCGAACCCTTTAAAATAACACAGCGATTATATTAAGTCTTAGCAGCCATTCCTTGTAACCCACAATTACACTTTTCGCCACAACTGCCTCCAAAGAGCCAGGATTAAAAAGCGGTTAGCCTCTTTTTTTATTGATATTATTTCAATTCACCATTTTACAATGATTTATTTCCTTGATCTTCTTCCATTTTTTTGTGTTTCATCTTCTTATATAGAATATTTATAAATTTGTAAAATCGCCTACCATGATGGTGTAATTAGATTTATTGCTACACATGTCATTATTAAGCCTTTCAATTCCATCAGAAATCGCCAAAAACTCTTCAATTTTACAAGATATGGTTATAAAACTCTCAGGTTCGTAGTTTGTGCAATCACTGATTACGTTTAGGGTCGCTGTTTTTCATAATATGACTGCTATCCATATTATTTAGTTTTTCTACGACTGGCCCTAGTTGAAATATTGTTAGTAATGTCACGACTGACAGAAAATCCTACGCCATTTTACTGTTATCTCCTTTTAATAAAGCAGATATTTAGATAATGTGAATTCTTATCCAGTTATTCTCGTTAATACCGAACACATGGAACCCGATGTTCAGTACCAACATGAACATCGACTGGTCCAATTTGAACCTCTACAAACTTTATATGTGCATATTTGTTATTCTTGATATCTTTGTTTAGTGAGTGTCGGCTCACGAAATAATCCCTGTGTCTATATAATTTTAACATCACTTTGTTTTTTTTAGAAACATAGTCCTTCCGCAAGAGAAAAATCCCAAGATGCGAGTTACGAATCGGAGAAGTCAACATCAAGCAAGTACAAACGTTTAATTATCTGGGAATTCTTCTAACAGAGGACCATAATGCAACACTGAAATTTGAATGTACACTGGGATAGCATACAAGAGAAATGAATTGATTGTTACATGTAGGCATAAAAATAAATATCTGCTGAAATACGATGATGCACATTAATTTTTAATGTAAATTATGGCTTGTTTATTTTGTTTTGCGTTTCTCAAAAAGAACCAGCAACCCCTCTTTATGCTTAATAAAAAAATAATATTCACAGTTCTAATACATATATATATATATATATATATATATATATATATATATATATGTATGTGTGTGTATGTATGTATGTATGTATGTATGTATGTATTGTAGATATAAATCCTGCTTATTTTAGAGGCCAAATAATTTTAAAATAATAAACTGTAATCTCCGCATAATATTTAACTGCACCAACATTTCGGTATCAAGATATTTTTATTAAAATTAAAATTAAGTAACAGTCAGGCTATATTCAGCACCTGAAGATTGCGCTGTACATGAAACTCTGAATCGTTTTACCGTTGAAGGAGAATATGTATATTTATTAACATATACTTAATAACTGTTTTATTGCATCAATCACTGTTTTAATAAAATCAGCATTTTATATTATATATATATATATATGTGTGTGTGTGTGTGTGTGTATGTGTGTGTGTGTGTGAAATCCCTAATTTATTATCTTGGTCTTTGAGGAAGCCATTCCATGCCTTATGACACTTAACTCTTGTTGTTAATATATAATATACATAATAGACACGGGCTATATATATATTTGTGTGTGTGTGTGTGTGTTGTATGTGTTTAAAGTGGTATCGTATTATATATATATATATATAATGTGTATACACATATATCTGTATATATATATATATATATATATATATATATATATATATATATATGTGTGCGTGGGTGGGTGTAAAGTGGTGTGGTTATATATATATATATATATATATATATATATATATAGAGAGAGAGAGAGAGAGAGAGAGAATGTGTATACACAAATATGTCTTTCTATGATAGTATATATATGTATGTATGTATATATGTGTGTGTGTGTGTGTATGTGTGTTTGTGTATATATTATATATTTCTGTATGTGCTGGTGTGTGTGTGTGTGTGTGTGTGTGTGTGTGTGTGTGTGTGTGTTGTGTGTTTAAAGGACATTGTACTGGTTTCTCTTTTTTTCTTTCTACCCCACATGTTGGCCGACCCAACGCTTCCACTTCAACTGACATTTCTTTTACCTTGACTGAATCTCCTTAACGCCTGTCATTTTCCGCAAGCCTCGCCAGCGGCCCACGCTTTTTCTACGACTGGCCCTAGTTGACAGATCGCACTGAGTTGGTTTGTTGGTGTCGACCCGCTGGTGCGTTCCGATGGCCTGCACCAGCAAATTGCGGTTGGAATTTGAAAACAGCCAATGATTTCCAGGAATCTATGAACAAAGTTCCCCGTCTCCTGATTCAAGGTTTTTTGGTTTTTTATTTTATTTTATCTCATCATATTTTATTCATTTTTGTGTATATTTTTTCTTGTACACTTATAAAAAAAAAAAGTACACAGATATTTCTCTATTTTCCTTCATTCGATCACCTTTTTCTTTTTTTTTCTACATCCTCTATTTTCTACCTCTTCTTTTCTTCCCTTTATTCTAACTTTTTCTTTCAACAATTCATCTTTTAATTTTCCTTCTATTCTTTCACCTTTCATTTATTACTTGTTTTCAAGGCAAATGATTTTATTTCTTTGTCCCGTTTTATTAAAGGTTTCAATTCTTTTTATTGTTTATATTCCTGTTTTTTGTTATCAATATTCTATTTTTACACTTCGTTTCTTTCTCATTTTACCTCATTTTATTCTTCTTTTCTTCCCGTATTCTTTCTTCTTTTGTTTCTTTCTTTGCTTTTCCATTTTATTTCCTCGTTTCGTTTCTCTTCATTTTCTTCCATTCCCTTTCCTTCTTCAATTTACTTTTGTTCTACCTTCTTTTTATCTTTCTTTTTTTTCCTTTAATTGATTGACTTCAGATTTTTTATTCTTCTATCATTTCTTTTCTCTTTTCATGAGTTCACACACACACACACACACATATATATATATACATATATATATACATATATATATATATATATATATATATATATAGAGAGAGAGAGAGAGAGAGAGAGAGGCAGAGAGTGGAGGCACGGTGGAGCAGTGGTTAGTGGCTTGGATTGAGGAATGGCAGAGCCGAGTTTGAATTCCAGTCGAATCCACTACATTCCTTACGTGCTAATACCCTTGGGAAAGGTATGTATCCTTTTCATCTCCCTCCAGCTATGGGTAAAATAGCAGGACAGACTGGGTTCTATAGCCTTGGATGGCAACTGGTCTAGGAGAAGGATAACTCTGAATTCAAAACCTGCGGAGGGTCGTTTGGGAACCTGTGGCATGCATTCGGTGCACCAGGTTTCTGTATTCGTCCCTCAAAAAAGTGTGGCTGGTCCTGCACAAGGCCTTCACCACTATAAACAAATCTCATGTGCCGGTGTCGGGATGTCGGTTTCCTGGGGACTTATCGGCCTGACCCTCATACGTCGAACGCGACGGGAGAGTCGATTATATATATATATATATATATATATATATATATATATATATATATATATATATATCCCTCCAGCTATGGGTAAAATAGCAGGACAGACTGGGTTTTATAGCCTTGGATGGCAACTGGTCTAGGAGAAGGACAACTCTGAATTTAAAACCTGCGGAGGGTCGTTTGGGAACCTTATGTCATTCGGTGCACCAGGTTTCTGTATTCGTCCTTCAAAAGTGTGGATAATCCTGCACGAAGTCTTCACCACTATAATCAAATCTCATGTACCGGTGTCGGGCTGTCGGTTTCCTGAAACTGATCTGTTTGACCCTCATACGTCGAATCTCGACGGATATATATATATATATATATATATATATATATATATATATATATACTGGAAGTACTAAAAGGAAGTCACAGCGTATAGGAAGCGAGTCTTTGAGGGAGCGTAGTGGAGTATTAAACTGCTGATCGTACGTCCTATTCTAGAAAGTGTAACTAATATCTGCTTCGCATAGTAGAATATAAACACAGGTTGGCGCTTGAGGATACGCAAGAAACAAATGCGCTGGCAGCAGATAACTTAACCACACCGAAAACGAGTCACACTCACACATATTTTTTATATATTGTATGGACATACTGTATGGTAAATGTCATAAAAATATAAATATAAGCGTGTGTAATTATATATATATATATATATATATATATATATGTCTTATATAATAAAAAATAATAAAAAAAATTGAATCTTCAGACACATTGTATTATTTCAGTTAAATTCCTCGACTAGTTTCGGCCAGCATACCCATCATCAGGATAAAAAAAATCTGCTTGTTTACTAACAATGAACGAAAGTGAATGACTTGATGGAGAAAATGAACTTTATCTGTAGTCTTCATTTGTTTTAATTCTTTTTTTTTATTTTTAACATGAATTTTGGTCACTCCTTGTGTTCGTCAAGCAGTCTCTTTTAAGTTGATATTTAAGATAAGGGCTGGGTGGATTCATGCTGCTCTGAATTCCCTTGGTCATTTTGACAGTTTTATTGGAAAGAGGATGTGTTTGTTAAGCGTGTGTTATTTGGTTCTTAGGGAGTGAGTGAGTATGATGTGTGCAAGTGGTATGGTATGGGTGTGTGTTATTATTTAGCTCATTAGGAAGTGAGTGAGCGTGATGTGTGCATGTGTGTATATTAGTATGGATGTGTGTTTTTATTTAGCTCATTAAGGAGTGAGTGGGTATGATGTGTGTAAATGTTTATATTAGTATATGTGTGTGTATAAGTGTGAGGCCTCAACACCACCGCAAGCATGTCTGTCTTGTGTGCGTGAGAAATGTGGGTAGAGCCTGAATTGTGGAGTTATATATTAATTCTATCTATTGTTAAATTTGTGATTAAGCCCGTCTGGATGGAGTGTTTTTACGCGCAGAATCCACTTAACTTCATGGTCTTTTAAAATTTTTCTAATGCTATCTGCTCTGAACATTTCTATTTTCTCAATTATAGTGAATTTGGCATGAGTTTTAAAATCGGGTTTTTGTAGGCGGAAATGTTCTACAAGTAATAATCTTTCACAGGGAGCCCACTTAATTCGATTGCGATAACTATTAATTCTGTAGTGAAAGGGCTATTTAGATTTTCCTCCAAATTGTTTCTGGCATAGTGTACAGTCTAGGAGGTAGATTATGTTATGACTTCTGTAGTCAGTTATATATATATATATATATATATATATATATATATATATATATATATATATATATATATATATATATATGAACTGTATATATATATATATATATATATATATTTTGTATCAAAAATAATTTTACAAATATTGTGGGTGGGTTCCTCTCATCAAAATAAAGACAAAGGTTAATATAAACATGTCCGCAAATCGTTCCTTTTTGAGATATTACGTGTAAAGAAAGTTTACGGTAGATGGTCCTGTGTTGCCAAGTAGACTATGTTAGATTTGTAATTCGTGTATATTTGTGGCTAGTCCGTCTTCAATGTTTAACCTGTGTAGTAGTAAGTTAACTGAGAAATGTTCCGTTTAACAATGCCCGGATATTTATATCGTGTGCAGGTAGATATGATTTTCACATACGGTCGCGCGAATGGTAATCGATGCGAGGCTGCACGGCTGTATCAGATTGCGTTTCCAGACCGAAGTCAGCCGATTCATTCAAACTTTTGTCCTTGTTTTTTGGTGTGAGGGAGCTGCACCCAAAATTTGCAATATTATATGTGATACACTCAATATATATATATATATATATATATATATATATATATATATATATATATATATATATATATTTATGTATATATATATATATATATATATATAGAGAGAGAGAGAGAGAGAGAGAGAGAATGAGGGACACACAGTGGCAGATTAGATATTTAAAACAGAGGAAATTCATTGGATCTTGCGTTGGTAATTTTCATCCAGAATTTCCGGGACTAATCTGGAGAATATATGACATAAAAGACGAATGGTAAAATTTGGTAATGTAGTTCCAGAGATTATGAGGCGATTAGATACATATATATATGAACAGAATTGGATGAATAACATATTTAAACAGATTCAGATAGAGAGGGTGATAGGTGGGAACAGACAGATTGATAGATTACATAATTCATTGCATCGGACAAAGGACTGTTCTTTAACTTTTTAAATAATCTTCAATGTTTTCTTAACTCCGTGTTGGGTTCGCTGTGTAGCAGTTGCAGAAATTGTTTCTAATTGTGAGATCGAGTGCTTTCTGCAGGTTGACAAGATCAGAGGTCTCAATCATTAATAGTTATTATTAATTCTAACAATGTGGCACACGGCCACATGAAGGAATGGGGTTGGTACCTGTCTTCCATTATCTAGCCTCACCTTTGCTCATTCCTGACCCAAACACACATTATTTCCTTTCAGCAAAACTATTGATCCGTATATATAAAGACTTGCAATTCACCACATTTATTCGATGGACATCCAAGCTACCTCCCAAAGAGAGGCAAGCTTTCATTATATATATATATATATATATATATTTATATATATATATATATATATATATGAAATAAAAAATGAAATGAAAAGACGTAAAGGAAGATGAAAGGACAGCCTTATTGTTTTCCTTATATAATGATTGGTCATTTCAAAGACAGTCTAGAGAAAACAGCTTAAACGTAACCAGAATTCACAACTTGCATTGGTTTTGTATGTTATGTGAGTAACTAACTTTACCCTCTTCGTGATTGGAGAGGTTGTTTACCGGACAGAAGTTTCGCCACTACTTTCGTTTTTTTCTTTATCACGTGAGATTTCTTAAACGCCTGGGTGGTTATATAGCTTTAAGTGGGCCTAGGTTTTAACGAGATATTTTATCTGTCTGTCGTTACATGCACAAACACGTACATCATATATTAAGCTGAGTTGTCGTACTTGAATCAAGAACTAACAACGCTACTAGATGTTCTATTGGTTAACTAGAAAGACTCCAACATTCCCCAAAACGGTAAATTATTATTATTAATAATTTTTGCTGAACATCCAAGTGACGGTGGACGAACAACTGAACTCAAAGTAAGATGGAAGATTGACAACCGTCATTATTCATCTCTCGTCATGTCCTGGAAATATATCTTTTTCTAATATCTTTCATCATGGTAATGAATTTAATCACATTACTTGACTGGCGGTGAGACAGCATCAATTTTCTCGCACTTCTTGTAATTTTGTTTTCGATGGTCTATTGTTGAGTAATAATTAAGATTATCTGTTCGAGGACTGATTTTCATCAAGGATACTTGTTAGCCCGTAAGCGTGAGCACGTGGGATACAAAAGGTGGATTCTTACAAGTGTACGCGGGAGTCACAGAATTTAACGAAACGGGAATTGAAACTCGGCTCTCCAATTCAGAGCCGCTATCTATTACACCACTCGCACATCCAAACTTACAGAAAATGGTATTCAAGCCTGGTCGCCAAGGCTCGATGTTCGTTATGTTCGGTGATTTTACAAGAACTAGTCTCTCATCATTATATCGCCGTAAAAGTGTGTGTGAAAATATATATATATATATATATATATATATATATATATATATATATATATATATATATATATAATATATATATATATATATATATATATATATATATATATATATATATATATATTTGGAAGTAAAGTCTGATGATCCAGAACCCTGTAAAAAGGGTTATGGTGAAATAGCTTATTACATGGAATCTTAACGTGGTCTGTCTTTTTATTCAAAATATATATATATATATATATATATATATATATATATATATATATATATATTCATCCAGACAGGCTGTTTCGCTGTACACAGCTCCTCAGTGTGGCTAGATGCCCGGTTGCCTCTAGCTAGGATCGAAACTCGGCTGAATGTGCGTCGGTGCACAGCAGAGATGAAGGTGAATTTTAGCGTATTTATTTTTAGATAAACACACAGTGACTGAGAGGACTCGATTCGTTTTACCGACGAGTTTTGCTATAACAGCCGTAATAAACACTGTTTACAAATCAACGCTTCCTTCACAGATAGATCAATATATATATATATATATATATATATATATATATATATATATATATATATATATATGGGGGGTGTTTGTAATAAATTTAGGAGAACATGAATAAATATATGTCTTTCAATCTGTAAAACCATTCAGAGGGTTCCATGTTTCTACAAATATGGGATATAACTAAAATCTCTCCGCTGTGGAATAAAATTTACTATAAATTATATCTCAGTTTTATTTTTCAGGGAACTATAGTTAATTATTTAGTTATTTAGTTATAATTTTGGTAGTTCCTCGCGTATATATATATATATATATATATATATATATTTATGTTTCATTAAATAATATAGACAAATGTTGTCTATTTATTTTATGTAAATTCTTTTTCAAAACGTCTGATAAGCTTAATAACATTATCATTAAACGAAGAAAGAAAATCACAATATTGATCCATATTTTTTAATCCAATCTATATTATTTAATGAAACATGTATGAATGAAAAAATGCCTAAATAAATACAATAATATATATATATATATATATATATATATATATATATATATATATATACAGTAAAATGGATATGAGTTTATAACCCTAGGTATCACGCTCATGCGATCCTCATACAATCACTTGAGCGCTCTCCAGTAAGCACCGCATATATATATATATATATATATATATATATATATATATATATATATATATATATGTATATGTAAGCAAATTTAAATGGATATAGATCCGACAGAATGAAAAAAATTTGGAAAAAACAAACAAAAATCCTTAAATGCAATTATGTTGTTTAAAATGAATGAAATGTCGACGTCTGACGTTTCGGTTTAATAAACCTTCTTCAGGACAATATTCATTAAAATACAATTCAGTTCAATTTGACAAAGACGATGGACATAAAAAACAAGACTTATCCAAAACAGATAACTGAAAATTTTAAAATGATCAGCTTTCCGTTAAGCATGGTCACGTTGTCGTCACATGGGCGACGCTTTCAAAATGTATTCCTAAAAATTTTTGATTATTTTGAATGAAAAAGAAAAAGAAAATGAAAAGAATTCTATTAGGATCTAAAATTTTTATGTCCATCCTGTTTCCCTGTTAATTAGTAAGAATTGTATCACTAAAACATTATTATCTAAAAACATTCTTACAATCTAAAAATAGTTTCTAGTTTTAAAAAATCTGCAAAGTTTGATAAAACGTAAGAAACGAAGCAATAAACAATCATGCGAGCTGGGATTCAACCTGTAAATAAAACTAAACGATTATTTCTATGTATGGAAGAAACTTTATAGCAAACAAATCAATAAATAATAATAAAAACGAGAGACAAATGTCCCTATGTGGTTTGAGTATGACTTGTTCGTACCTGAAAGTTGATGTCTCTTTTCAGGAAAATGAAATGTGTCCGGTTTGTTTTAGTTGCATCCAGAGTTATGGACATAGCGTCCATTATCGCTGACGGTCCGATAAATAAAAGGAAGAGCCTCGTGACTAACGTCCGAGAAGCGAGATAGCTACTCGTTTTTACACGCTCGTCCGAACGATTCTCTTGTGTCAGGAGGTACCTTAGCGTCATATCTGGCCACGGACATAAGTGTGGCATAGAGTTGTTCAAACTTCCGCTAGACTCCACAAAATCTCAGCCCTACGATAAACCGAAAATATGTATTGGAAAACGGAGAGAAAGAGAAAGAAAGAGAAAGAAAACGAAAGAGAAAGAAAGAGAGAGAAAGAGAAAGAAAAAAAGAGAAAGAAAGAGAGAGAAAGAGAAAGAAATAGAGAGAAAGAGAAAGAAAAAGAGAGAAAGTAAAAGGGAAAGAGAAAGAAAGAGAGATAATAAGAAAGAAAGAAAGAAAGAAAGAAAGAAAGAAAGAGAGAAAGAAATAGAGAGAAAGACAAAGAAAGAGAGATAAAATGAAAGAAAGAAAGAGAAAAGAAAGAAAAAGAGAAAGAAGTAGAAAGAGAAAGAAATAGAAAGAAAGAAAGAAAGAAAGAAAGAAAGAAAAAGAAAGAGAAAGAAATAGAGAAAAATAAAGAGAAAAAGAGAAAGAACAGGAGAGAAAGAGAAAGATTAAGAGAAAAAGAGAGAGAGAGAGAAAGAGAGAGAGAGTGAGAGAAAAAGAGAAAGAGTGAGAGAAAAAGAGAGAATGAGTGAGAGAAAAAGAGAGACAGAAAAGGAGGAAGGGAGAAGAGAGAAATTGAGAAAAAGATGAACGCGAAAAGTTTTAATCTAGTTAATGTAAATTTCTGAGAAAGTTTTTCTATTTAATAATGAATATCATCGGAGCAGAAGACTTGATGTCCTATCACAACAGTTCACTTCTGCTTATACACCTGGCTAGAACCGTCCAAGAAAACAGTGTGTGTGTCTGTGTCTATCTGTGTGTGTTTCTGTGTGTGTTACAGCTAAACTATATGAAAGTTCTTTTTGGTATTGAATTACTGTTTTTTTTTTTTTTTTATCAATTGCCATACATAGTTCCTCTGTGATTTCTAAAAACAACATTATTTATAGGATGTGAAATATAGCAGCCTTAGTTATTGGATATTGTTCCAGTAGAGAATCTTGGCGAATTGAGAAATAATTAATGTTCTATCCGTCCCATTTTTTTAGTCTTTTAATTCCCACTTTCATATCTGTAAGTCTTTTTTCATGATCGGTGTCACAAGACATTAGCAGTAGATTCCTTTAGATGAGGAGTTGCCATACCGGGTTTATTTCTAACATATCCTCACTCTGCCAGAAAGATTGAAATGTTTCTTGAATACACGCGTTCGGTAGGGCAGGAAGAATTTGGGTCAATTAAAGAAAATTATTTTCTTTAAATGAGAATATAGAATGGAAAAAAATGTGAATGGTAACTAAAATAGCGGAAACGAAATGAATACTGATCAAAATAGTTATGAAGTGACAGTGATAGACAGATTTAAGGTGAAATGAAAATTCCTAGTCGTACCCAACTCCTAAAAATCAGAACAAATCACCAAAATCAATATGATATTGGAATCCCTTCTTCGTTTCAAGAATATTACAAGATGTGTCGTAGTGAAGAAATATTTGCAAGCACTTGTTTCGAATGTTTGCTATCTTTGCAAAAAGGAATTTTTAACTTTCGAATATATATAGATATATGTGGGACCTCGTTAGGGAATTGTAGAAAAATGCTACAGATTTAGCTACCGTCACTGGAAAATCGTTTTTTGTAAAAAATCGGCTCTCGAAGAAAATAATTAATTTTTGTCTACGGATCGCCTCAAATTTGAATATAAATACATACAAACATATATATATATATATATATATATATATATATATATATATATATACAAACATATATATATATATATATATATATACAAACATATATATATATATATATATATATATATATATATATATATATATATATAATTAAAGACGACAGACAAGGTACTGCGATTAAGTTTTATCTAATTTTTCTTGTGTGCGAACAAGTGTTTTCTTTTCTGGACACAGTGTGGAGAAACTGTCCAGATGTTCTCTAATTTCGAGAGCTTTATCATAGTCGCATCAGAATGGAACGCACCATACAAAACATCTAACATTGATACATATATATATATATATATATATATATATATATATATATATGTGTGTGTGTGTGTGTGTGTGTGTATGTATATAAGTGTGTGTGTGTGTATGTATGTATATATATGTGTGTGTGTATATATATGTATATATATCTAAATATGTGTGTATACATATGTACATATATGTGTATGTATGTATGTATATATATATATATATATATATATATATATATATATATATATATATATATGTGTGTGTGTGTGTGTGTGTGTGTGCAAATATATAGAAAAATAGGAAAGAACCGCTTGGTTAATATTCTGAAGTTGTATAGTATTTTTGTTTTTATTTAAAAAAAACCCCAAAAAACAGTGCTCAATACATAAGTAGAGCCTAAATTATTAAATTATTAATTATTAATATTAATTATTGCACCTTCTCTGGCTCCCGTTCTCTGTTGATATGTAGTAGAAAGACTCTATTGAATGCCTGGCTATGTCAGCTGCTAATAAATTCGGTTCACTATGTCCAGCGAGACAATTTTTTCTCTCCAGAAACTATATTACATATCTATAAGTCTACTATTCCTCCATGTTCAGAATTCTGCTGTCACATATGGTCAGGTTCCACTGCTATTTAACTTTTGCTTCTTGATAAGATCCAAAGAAGAACTTGCAATAGTTTTGGTCCTAATCTGGTGTCTCAAGTCCAGTCACTTTGACCATTCGCCGTAATGTTGCCTCTCTATGTCTTGTCTATAAATACTTTCATTTTTTGCTCGAATGGCGTCTTCGCTATGGTACCTAAACTATTTTTTTTTAATTAAGCGTCGACATCTCATAAATTTATAGTTGATCTGGCTAGATGTAACCGTAAATTATATGCTAAATTGTTTCTTCTCTTGTGCTTCTCGCTTGTGGAAATCCCTTCCGGCACTTTGCTTTCCAGCCAACTTTAATCTGCAAAAATCTAAATGCAATGTCAATGAGTATCTACTGTCCACCTGAATACTCTCTTATCTTTCTGCTCGTCATTAATGTTTCGGTTCTTAATTCATCCACACAAGCGTCTAATGATTTTTTCTTTTAGTTTTAACAACTTAAGTCTTTGGCAATTACAACCACAATTAAACAATTAAAGTTATCGAAGGATATTACAAAAACGGGCGTTCAAACAGAAATACATTGAGAAGTACCCAGGTCGCGTCAGCTCTTGAAACAGCGAAGTAAATTGACCACCACGATCGTGCGACTTGACACATTTAGGTTTCTTCCTTTGGGGTCATGTCAAAATTAAGGTGTATACCATCAAGCCAACACCAATTCAAAAGCTGAAGGATGAGATAATAAGGCATATTGATGAAATCGACGAGCAGCTATGCAGAGACGTCATCAAAAATTTTGACCATCGAGTGGAGGTGTGCCGTCGAAGCCTTGGCGGATATTTAGGCAATATTATTTTTCACATATAATTCCCATGACTTAAATAATATGATCCAATAGAGAAATCAATAATTTTTAACCAATAACATTGATTTATTTACTGCTGACTTTGATCCGTCTTAATGAAACACTCTTCATATATATTAAAGAGATAAAGAGATTAGTGTATAGATGGTTACTTAAGTTCTGAAACTAACAGGGTATAACAAATATTTCTTATGAAAACATCAAATAATTGATCTAAGAACACGCGCCGACCAATTCAGGTGAATAAAAAGAACGAAAATTCTGATACCTGTTGTAATCATTCTTGAACTAATAACAATATTTTATCGCAGAAATTTTTGCGAAATCAAAAATGTCTAGATAACAAAATGACCGAAAGTTAACGATAGCAAAATGCACATATAACCCATAGAACCAGCAATATTTAATATTAGAAGAATAAAGAATGTATTAAGATCGTGTAGCGCACTGGGACAAAGTAAGTGCTTTAAACAAAGAGTCGAACACTAGATGACAGAATTCTTGAAATAATTATATTAATTTGCCACAGACTTTTTAAAAAGATATTTGGACCTTTGTCCACTGTCTTTGATTTAGAAATCTCTAAAAGATTCCTGAGAAATTTAGGACCTTTCCACTTTTTCTCTAATATAAACTCAACCTATCATTCTTTTTCTCTTGCCTTTTTTCGTCTCATTAATTACAGCCTTGCCGGACATTGAGATTCAGACCCCTACTTAAGATGAATTTCTATGAAATTCGACCCAGGCGTCTTTTTTCTTTCCGGCTATAGTGTCTTAATTAATTCTTCAAACGTCTCAGCAGAAAGATTTTTTTTCTTCCCTTTTACGCTCTCACTGGTTTGTGATTATTGATTGACTCTTGCAAACACTCATTTCCCTGGCCCTAACCCATTATCAATCGACACGGCTCGACCAGCAGCATCAGAAGCGCTGATTATAGAGTAAGGTGCTCACGTTGAGAAAACGAAAGCTAAATAATTAAAGCTGAGAAGTGGTCTCGGAAGCGCGAGGAAGTGAGAGACGCGCGCGAGATTTTAGGCGTTAGAGTACGCATGCGCGCTCTAGTTAACGGATGACTCTTTTTTTAACTTTACTTTTGTTTTGTCGACTTTGGCTGTTATGGAAGTTTTTTTTTATGTTTACGCACATCGATTGTGTTGGCAGTGATTTGTTCCATGTTCTTCAGCCAAGTTTTCAAAGCGTTTTTTTTTCTACGAAAAATACAACATTCTGATATTTACCGCATTCTCTGACTTATTCATTCACACTGCGTAGCTTATTCGAAACAATCTTCTTCCTTTATTTAGTTAGCAAGACTGTCTCGCTTGATCAATTACAACTGAGTTGTGAGTTCGATTATCACTGGGCGCTATACGCTTTCGGCGTGGGCTGCATCTAAGCATAGCTTAGAAAATCATTTGAACATTTTGACGTGGTATAACGTGTCTCGTTAGATCAGTTACGGCTGAGTAGTGAGTTCGATCGTCCCTGGGGGCTCCATGATTTCGGCTTTGTGCAACATATAATCTCAGCTTAGAAATTCATTATACTTCCCTTGTAAATGCGTTTATTGCTATCGGGGAAGTTTAAATTAATGTTAAGCTCGAGCCACAGTTTGAGGAACCAACGACCGACAAAGTTTTCGTTGGTCAAAATAGATCTATCCCCTCATATGAGGTAATTTTGAATTTTGTTGTGTAATCAATTTTATTGGCTGTGTTATAATAAATACATTGAGCTTTTTTTGTGGATCAGTTTTAATATTTTATATTACTAGGATCCATTTGGATTACATACCAACTGATTTATATCCTTTTATATATATATATATATATATACATACATACATGCATGCATATATATATATATATATATATATATATATATATATATATATAGACAAAAGTTCATTTTCTCCAGGAAAAGATACATTTCTGTAGTTTACTGCTACCAGCAATCAGAAATATTTCTCCTCCCGATGATGGCCATGTTGGTCGAAACTAGTCGAGGAATCTAAATGAAATAATAATAAAAAAAATGAAAGAATATTAATCTACAACCCAGTGTGTCTAACGATTTTATTTCATTGTTCAATATATATATATATATATATATATATATATATATATATATATATATGTAGTAATCCGTTGGTATACTCCAGGTGAGTCCTATTAACACAATATAGAATTTGAAATGATAAAACTGGCTCACAAAGAACGCTCGATGTTAATTTTTATTAAATAGAGCAAAATTTTCACACAATTTGAATTAAGATACCTTTAGTTAATGACCATTTTCACCTACGAATTTTCATTTTAAAATTCGCAGGATTTTTCAAATTGTTTATGGTATCAGTTTCTAGTGGGATATTGGCGAGTTGTGGATAAAGAGAGGAAGGACGTTGTTCCTTTTAACGTAGAAGGAAATATAAAAAAAAATGAAGTGAAGGAAAATGAGAATACAGAAATAAATGCATAAAAATAAACAGAAACAAGAAAAAACATGACAAGAAAATAGAAATAAAGAAAGTGTACAAGGATGAGAATGCCGAAAAGACATTTAACAAATGAGGAAAAATAAAATCGAAAAAGAGAACAAGAAAATATGAAACGAAGAAACATAAAACGAAAGACATTAAGACAAAAATCACTGAGAAGAAGATACAAAGAAAATCTCTAGGGGAAAAAGGGAAAAAGAAAGATAAAATGAAGAGAGGAAAGAAACTGCAAAAACCACTGAAAGAAAAAAAAAGAGACGGGAGAAAAATAAGAGCAAAAGAAATAAAAAAACAAATGGTGAAAGACGAAGAAAAAAGTATAGAGGGAAATAAAGGAAGAAAGTCGAAAAAGAAGAAAAATTACGGAGTAAATATTAAAGGAAGGAGGAAAAGAAACTGAACGAACGGTAGATGTATTTTTATTTTTTTTTTAAATGGCCGAGGAAAAAAAATGGAAACAATTTTGAAGAGAAAGAAAAGAAACGACAAAAATTTCGATTTTTCACTGGTTTGTTTTTACTTAGAGTCGAAAATGATGCCTTGGACGAGTATCGAGAGAGAAAAAAAATCCCAATTTTTATGACTCATCATCTAACATGAAACAGTTTTGGAAAGACAGTTAAGAGATAGGCTCAAATAAGATAGGGGAACAGCGAAAATTAGATCATTACAATGGCTACATAAACTGGGACACACCGGAGTTATTTATATACATACACACACACACACACACACACACACACACACACACACACACACACACACACACATATATATATATATATATATATATACATCATATATAATAATATGTACGTTCTTCGTATGTATTTCTTGAAAACTAGGCTCTGAAAAGAGAATTCTTTTCCTTTTGTTTAGATAAGGCTGGAAAATTTGACACGGCCAAACGAGTCTCAGGACAATAAAAAGGAACGGTATTGTTTTATTATTTATGTATCGGTATTTTTACCTATATTAAGTGTTGTGTCTGTGCACTCCACGTGCCTTCGCCTAGAATAAGTGCAAATTCTGTGTGTTCTGCAGATGACCAAAATTTTATTCCTCAATATTTATGCTTCGGTTCCGTTTAGTATTTCATTCTAAATATATATATATATCAGATCATAAGTAGCTCTAAACTTTCGATTCTTTAATTGTATATTGAGCACTTTTTAAATATAACCGTTTCCCGGAGAAAGTAAAACTTGCCTAATATATATATATATATATATATATATATATATATATATATATATATATAGATAGATATAGACATAGATAACTAGACTCGTTTCGAAAAACCCTGGAATTTTTGATTTGCTAATCAAGTCAATCTCGAGGGAAAAAAGGTTTTAAAAAAAAAAAAAAAAAAAAAAAACAAACATGGACTTCTGCCGACAAAAAATCGCACAGATGCAGGTCCGAAGCCCAAAGAACGCGTTCCATATTAGTTGATTTTAAACAGTGCTCGATAGGATAACCTTGAGCTTTATACATATAAATATAGATAACTAGACTCGTTTCGAAAAACCCTCGAATTTTTTATTTGCTATTGATCGATCGATCTATCTATCTATCTCTCTCTCTATATATATATATATATTCCACTCTCCCGTTTTATTCGACGTATAAGGGTCAAACAGCTCAGTTCCTACGAACTGACAGCCAGACACCTGCACATATGATTTGATTATATCGGTAAAAGCTTTGTGCAGAACGAACCACACTTTCAAGAGCCGAATACAAAGACCTGGAGCACTACGTGCCACAAGGTTCCCAAACGACCCTCCGCAGGTTTGAATTGTCCTTCTCCTAGACCAGTTGCCATCCAAGGCTATAGAACCCTGTCTGCCCTGCTATTTACCTATAGCTGGAGGGGGAAGAAGAGGATTCATACCTTTCCCAAGGGTATTAGCATGTAAGTGAATGTAATGGATTCAACTGGAATTCGAACTCGGCTCTCCGATTCCTCAGTGTAAGCCGCTATCACTTACTCAACCATGCTTGCCTCTGCCTCCCCCTCTCTATATATATATATATATATATATATATATATATATATATATATATATATATATATATATATATATATATATATATATATATATATATATATATAGAGAGAAAGAGAGAGAGAGAGAGAGAGAGAGAGATAGATAGATAGACAGACAGATTCTTAAATTCCACGTGCAACGTCTATGGATTCAACTTTTATTATTTTTCCAATGTTCGAATGGGGTGTTGTACATCTGGATTGAAGTTGTCAATAAATTGTTCTAAGTTAATGTTTTTTCGACTATCACATTCATTGTCAAGAAAGACTGTTATTAGTATGCTAAGCAAGATTTATTTATTTGTTTGACGTTAATTTTGACGTTTGAAATTGCTGGAATTAGATTTGGAATTAATTCAAAGGACGTCATTTATTTCACCTTAACGGAAAATCATTTATCGAATATCTATACATGCTCTTTTTAAACACACTTCAGTATATGATGTTCTATATAAAAATACATTTTATTTAATACTGTGTGTTTCTTTTTTATTACAAAGGCTTCTAGAATTTTGAGTTTCTTTGCTAGGAGTTCCGTATAATATTTTTCTTCTATCTTTTAAAATTTGTTTTGTGTTTATAGTATTTTAGCTGAAAGTGATGTACTGATCGATATGTGCATAAATTGCACTAAACTCCGACAAGGAACATGTCATGCTACGAGATAGTGCGGTTAATGCATGGTCAATGTAAGAATTTAATTATTGTTAAGCATTATTCTTGGAGATTCATTCTACAAAAGAACAAGAATTCATAAACAAAGTTATTTTTAAATAGCGTCGATTTCTGAGGTGCTGAATTAGACATTTTGAATTTTTTTAAATAGGGGAAAAATCTAACGTATTTGTAACGATCGTTAAATGAAGAATTTTTGTAATGACATTTTCATTTAGTTTACAATTAGGATGCAATATTAGGTTACAATAAAATAATTTAATATTCTTCTATGTAAAAATACATTTTATTTAATGCTGGTTGTTTTATTTGTAATATAATGGCTTCTATCATCCACTTGCTTAAGCCCACCAGGTATGTCAGGCTTTGTTTTCCCTTGTCTCTCCCTCTATTCGACCCGTGAGTATCAGATTCTACAGACCCTCCTTCCTTATTATGTGTCCCAGAAACTTTCATCTTTGCTTACACGCTCGGTAAAAAGACATGAGATTTCATAAACAAAGTTATTTTTAAATAGCGTAGATTTCTGAAGTGCTGAATTATTAGTAATTATATGAGACGTTTTAATTTTTTTTTAATAATAAATGATAAATCTAAAATATTTGTAAGGATCGTTAAATGTGATATACCGGTGAATTTTTGTAATGATATTTTCATTTTGTTTATAATTAGAATGCAATATTAGGTTACAATAAAATAATTTAATGGTATCTATTTTCTTTCTAACAACATGATTGTGTATGATAATTTTTTCTATATAGGTTTAGATTAAAAACACAAATCAAATGAAACCAAATATATTATGAAAAATAAGTAAAAGTGCATCAGCCTTCAACGATAAATTAAAAAAAAAGACTGTAAACTCAGTAGCAGAAAAAGGCTAGAATCACTTTCCGCGCTCAACACAAATTACTAAATAAATGATTAGAACTCATCGTATAATGCAGACACGAAAACAAATTTTTTACTTAGTTAATTAACAATCGAAAACTAAAAACGAATACTTTGTAAAATACAACAATAGAAATGGAAATATATGCACTACATATATTCGGGCACCTCGAAGCGTTGTAATGGATAGCAAGCTTGTCTCGCTAAAACGATTACGATTGAGTGGTGAGTTCGATCCTTTATGCCACATCTAAGCTATGCTTAAAAAATCACTATACACCGCAGATAATGTAACATACTTTAGACAATACGAAAACTCTAAACTTAAACAAATAAGTTAAACAAAACGCCGGAAACAAATATAAATAATAAACAAATTAACAAACTACGAATGCACACAAGCAAACTTAATAAAAATAATAATAATAATGTGGTACATGGGAACATTAACAATCCCTGTTGTGGTTAGAGCCCTCGGATTGGTTGGAAAAAATTCCAGTAGACTAATTGAAGGGATTCCTGGAAGGCCATGCCTTAAAGAAATACAAAAAAAAATGTTCTCACGTGTACAGTCCACACCTTACGAAGGGCTTTGTCTATGTAATATATATTTTTTTTGTCAGTGGAAAATGACATGATGCCATTTCTCACCTAAGGTCCCTGGGCGGGACCCGGAAAGAAATGAATACACATCAGAAATCAAAGGAAATAAAATAATAATAATAATAATAAACAGCAAATAATTGAGCAATCAACGATAATTAATGAATAGAACAATACCATAAAATATCTACCAATAACCGCATTCGGTTCCACAATTATTTTCACTCAATAACCCCTAGAATAATTTGAAACATAACCGTTACCCCCCACGCAATAAAAGTTAGGATAATACAATAAACCTTACTACACATGTTGCGCCATTGACCAGCATATATAAATAGTCAAGTTAAAAGCAACACATATGGCCTGAAGATTGTTCATGCAAGAAATAGACTGTCGTCGTCGCTTGATGTGGACCTCACTATCCATTATATATATATATATATATATATATATATATATATATATAATAAATTAATTGATTTAAAATATGGTTATTTATTTATTTATATACATATATATGTATGTGTGTGTGTTTAAACATATATTGTTAAATATAACAGACAATGACAATGTTTAATCATGAGCCATTTTTAAACTTCGTATGTTTGCTTTAAATTCGGGTGAATATAAAGACAAAAATTGTCCAAATTTTGGATATTTTTTATTAAGTTGGTCCTTGATCTAATCTTTCGGCACACATAAGCCATATCCAGAGTAGCTATTCGGACATTCAAACAAAGATAATCACCATCAAAGCTGATATTTTTTATGTTGACATTGAAAATTGCTATGCGACGATAACGGTTGAGGAATAGAAGACGCAAGTCGTAAATTCGTGATGCGGTTCTATGACGTCATACCACGTGAGAGACGAAAATATTAACAACAGAATCATATGT